TATATATATATATAGTAGTAGTGTAGTAGTAGTAGTAGTAATAATAGTAGTAGTGGTAGTAGTAATAGTAGTAGTGGTAGTAGTAGTAGCAGTAGTAGTAGTAGGAGTAGTAGCACTAGCAGCAGCAGCAGCAGGAGCAGCAGTAGTAGTAGTAGTAGTCGTCGTCGTGGTGGTGGTGGTGGTGGTGGTAACAGTCGCAGCAGCAATAGTAGTAGCAGAAGTAGTCAGTAGTAGTGGCCATTCTGACTGAAATGCGGATGTCGTTCAGAGGTCGTTTTTTCGCCGAGAAATCTGGCCAATTACTGTCCATCGAAAGTGAGCAGCAGCAGCAGCAGCAGCAGCAGGAGCAGCACCAGCAGCAGCACCAGCACTAGCACCAGCAGCAGCAGGAGGAGCAGGAGGAGCAGGAGGAGCAGGAGGAGCAGGAGCAGCAGAAGGAGCAGGAGCAGCAGGAGGAGCAGGAGGAGCAGGAGGAGCAGGAGCAACAGCAGGAGCAAGAGGAGCAAGAGCAGCAGCAGCAGCAGCAGCAAATAGTACGTTGTTAAGGAGGTCGTTCCAATGTCGTTTTGGATGTCGTCCGGAGGGTCGTTCCCCAACTAAATAACATATTCCACAAAGACAGAAAACATCATAAATAGCTGCGGCGGTGCGTGGAATTCTGAACGAAGGATCCCACAATACTACTTTACATCAATCCACCTTTTTTTCTGGCTGAATTGGAGCCTAACCGCAATGTCATATTAATTAAGAAGAAATCCCACGCCACACCAAGGAGGCCTCCCCTTTGAATTATCTAAAGACCCCCACCTTTATTGATAACTCGCTAACAAGCCTCCTCCAGCTCCCACAAGACAAAACTCAAGGTAGCCTTTCAGAAGCTGCTTTTGGTGGTAATTTATATCTTCCGTTTATAGTGTTTTTTTGAAAACTGCAAGAATACACTATATTTTGTAATAGTTCTTTCGTCTGGCCACTCTCGCATCTATACATGCGAGCATCGTTCAAATCTTGCATTGGTCACAAAAATTAAGATTCTGGATTCGCGAATCAACCAACAAAGACTTCAACAAAACACTCGTGCGAGGGATGAAACCTGAAACTATGGGCCATGCAAGTGGCGATGTTGGGCATCGCCATGTCCCAGCGCAGCTTCCCGCGCTGGTGCTGGGCCCATTGCAAACTTTGCAAACGTGTCCTTCGAGTGACAGCAACTTGACACGACCCACATCACAACGCGTCGGTCTTCAGGTTGAGCTGTCCAGCTGAATTACAACCAAACGCCACCAAAGAACCATCCCTCTTCACCTCGATTCGATATGAGAGATGCGTGTTCTTATTTCTCACACCAGATTGTAAATGTCTACCATGCACTTCAAAGCACGCAGACCAAGTGCGGCCGAGTCACAGCACAAGTGTGAAATGCTCCAGCCTTCACATCGATCACTAGGTTCTTTAAATCTTCTGGGACAGAGCATTGGCCGAAGGACGGATCGCCAAAGCATACCAAAGTCCCATCCTCCTGGCTCTAGTGGAGCATAGTGGAGCGGAATACACTCACCAACCGAGTCGAGATCCAAAAAAGGCTGAGTTCAATCAACATTCAGGTATTCCGGTTGAATGACAATGTGTGTGTGCACTCCACTTTCCAGTCTCCTGAAGGGCACAGGTGTGCCGCTGTCCAGCAGAGACCATCGTCACCTTCTTCAACTTGGCCGGAACTTTGCACTGGCCGAAGCTGTTGTCGCCAAAGCAGCGCAATTCGTCGCCTTCTCTGGTCTAGGAGAATGACAAGAAGAGGGATTTCAAGGCCGTCAAGAGGAAAGAACATGTACTTAGGGTCTTCACAAGTTCAGTCGGTATACAATTGAATTGAGCAACCCAAGCTGCTACGAGAAGCTTGGGGTCCCAAAACTGATTCAGGCTCCTGCTCAATCAAAGAGCACTAAACAATAAGAATACCTCTTTCCTTGACTTCGCTGCCAAGAAGCTCTGAGTAATCACACATGTGTGGCTCCCACCAGCTGCAACAGCCTTCACGGGGACATCCTCCAGGTCTTTTGGCACATCGCATTGTCTGGATTTGTTGCTTCCAAAGCATCTTAGTCTGGCCAACTCAGGTGTGGCTCCCACAATCACACAGGTGTGGCTCCCACCAGCACTCACACTCTGCACAGGAGCCAAGTCTTCAGGCACATTGCACTGCTGAGCATGATTCCTGGGCTCAATTATATAAGCTGAACCAAAAGCAATAGCACTGGCCCGTTTATGCTGGCATTTCACTTAGACTGTAACTTGTAGATCCTAAAGCATCTCGAAGGGCACCACACAAACGACAAACAGCACTGTACTGCAGTCAAGATTCTCTCCGAAGCAAAAAAGCCGCCCTTCTTCGTTGACCACGCAGCTATGTTGTTGCCCTGCTGCAATCAGTATCACTTTGCCGAGGCCCTCTGGCACGTCACATTGCTGGCACTCATTTGATCCAATGCATTGCAGCTTCCTTGTCAGTCTATTTTGCGATGGCCCAAAAACAAATGCAACACCAACACTAACAACAGCATCGAAATGTCAACATGTAAAAGGGACCAAAAACCAAAACCGACTGCGTGACTGCGTTGGTTTATATGATTCTACGGCATCCTTTGCACTTCTCAAGCTCTCTTGCTCAAGCACACAGCTGTGGAGGCTTGTGTGGGGAATCTCACGGGGCCACAAAGTCTCAAATCCCCACGCGCAAATGTGGGCTGCTTTAGAATAATCTAGCCTATAACATTGTACAACTGTTCTCACCTCCGGTCGATGCCACACGCTAAAAACGTGCATTTCAAGAGTCCCTTCACTCAGCAACATGACATGGTAGTGCCCGGCTGCCACCATGTCCGCAGTGGTTGCTTCGACTTCAATGCCCCTGCCAAAGACTCGTGGCTGACTCTTTTCCAACACCTCAAATCTTTGGATGGCAGGCGCAAAGCTACCAAATAGTGTTCGAGTTCGATTTCTTCAGCTTCGTGTGATAAAAAGAACACCCGAACGCCTGATTTCTGGAGAGACTCGAGACTCAGCGAGACCTCCAAACCTTCCTAAGCGATCCAAGGTGCGCAAGTGAAGTACATGCCCGGAGCCAGCATCATCCAGCAATGCGGTTGGTTATTTGATGACGCGGTTGGAGCAAAGGCTGCAGGATCAGCATCTGTCTCTGTGGGTGGACTTCCATGCTTATACCTTGTATCCTTCACTTCGCACTCCACCCTCTATCACCTCATCGGACCATAGTAAAAGGCCAGGTATATAAGCCAATAAAGAATCGCTGTATTGATAGGTTCAAAACTTCAAACCTTTATGATGCGCATTCAAACAGCTTGTTGTTCAATGTCCTTTACATACTTGAATCAAAGTCAAACCCACGGCAATATTTTTTCATTGCACGCCGCCCTTCAGCTGGTATCCGTCTTCACTGCCTGCGGTCAATGAGCGTTGTGGGAGATTGAACCTCCACCTTGAGGCATGCCATGTTATCTTAGCACGACTGCACGACAAAGCGCAGGCCATCGCACATTTTTGGAGGCCATTCTCAAGCCGCATCTAAACCACCTGGATAAAAACAAAGACCTGTGTGGAGGATCACAAAACAGGTGTCCCAATTCCATAGGCATGGTTTCAATGATTTCTTGACTTTGTACGACTCTGATGCTGTGAAACACCTGTCTGCATTGCTACTCATTCCAGCCTATGCGTCGCAAACGACTGAACTGCACCAGGTTATTGTTTGAAAACTGCCCTCGCATAGCTGTGAAAGGACATATCTTTGATGACTTCGCTCCATTTCTCTTGCAGTCTCAATCTTTTCATGAGTTCCTATGCATTTCAACTGCAATCTGTATCAATGTCCAAAATATGCATTATGTGGACTATTCGAAAGGTCTCAGTAGAGTTTGTCATCCTGGATTCGTCGGAGCTTCTAAGGGACCTGGGCTATGGGCAATTGGCAAGCCAAACCTTCATTGTAATGATGCGGCTGGGAACCTCTACATTAGGTTGGAGGCCATCGCTCTTTGGATGGAGGCCATCGCTTCTAGGTTGGAGGCCATTGCTTTTAGGTTGGAGGCCATCGCTCTTAGTTTGAGAACATCTACAGTAAAATCAAAACCTTTTGAACCTCTTTCAACTCTCGGGAGAAGTACAAAGCCTTGTGTAGCGAGGTTTTGCTACTGTCGGAAATTCTTGGGTCAGGACAAATACTTATGATGCACGGCTTTCGAACTCGTTCATGCCCAAAAACCTGAGGGTGCGACTGCAATTCGTTTTGGGCCGGGGTGAAACTCAAATCATGCGGATCTGCACATACTAAATCTTCTGACAGGGTGGACAAACGTCAAATTAATTGCCTACATTGTTTTGGGAAAGCTGGGCTGTGAGGCAAGCATTCTGCAATTCGGACTGATTCACTCTTCTTTGCTTTTGATTTTAGCAAACCTTCACAAAAACTTGGCAAGCGCATCCCCAACCATGAGCCAAGCAACTCATCCATGGCGGATTTGATACCGCCCTCAATTTCTGGGGTGATTTGCTTCTTCTCCATGATCTCCTTGCCAAAGCAATGAGTTGAAATCGCCATGTTCAATGTGAATGACTACTAAATGGCTTCCCATGAATCGATCATGTTTAATGGTTTAATGTTCCAACAAAATTGCACACAACTGTATTCAGGTGACACGGTTGACTCATTGAGGCTGTTTGTAGCATCAAAACCTTCTACCTGGCTCTGGCCGCACTGAAGTTTGGGTTTGAGGAAGTGGATCATGTCCAGTCCAATACCCTTTCTGGTCGAAACAACTTATCTCTTGCGCATACTCTGCCAAGGCCTTCCACACAACTTTGCGGTTTTTCCGATACCGTTTACGTTGCTGCAAGGATCCATCCAACCACTCACTCTATAAAACTTGTTCACGTAATGCTCTAAGTTTATTTTGAGTGTACCCAAATCATGCTTGCGCTTGCACTGCGAGCTTCTATTAGAAAACAAATGAAATGCTACAATCGCCGCAGCACTACCAGCACTGCATCACTCCACACTTCCCAGCATATATATGCCCAATCCCAAAACACGTACCATCGTTTGGCTAGAGACAGGTAACCACGTCACTACCATCTTTTGCTGAGCAGTTGGATTCAACTGCTAAAGAACAGTAATGCACGTTGCAACCTTCTTCATTGCTCTCCTTGAGGATGTCGCCACGAGTGTCCTTGAAGTGTTTCAGCCAAAGTGCTTCAAATCGCAGGATTTCCTTGGTCGCCACCTGCCAACAGATTGGAGAGACGATTTGATGCATTCAAGCCTGGAGCTGTCATGGTTTGTGAGCAGCTGAAAGGCGATGCCTTGTCCAGGTAGCCACGGGTGCCCGCCCAAAGGGACACAATGATCTCTGACGTTGTCATTGGCACGAACCTGAAGTGCATCGCATCAAAAACCAAGCGAACGGCTGCAGCCAAGCTTGCTTTCTCTTGCTGTATTGAAGAGGTTCCACTTGGCGAACGGCTGTTTCTGTTTCAGCAACTCAGTGAGGATGCCACCTGCAATCGAACCGCTTAAAGAATCACTCTTCGCTCCAAACTACCAAAAGCACTAGGAATCCTGAAAAAGGAACCGTTCACTCTAGCCACTGCTGCAGGGCGAGAGGGCCCAGCATGCGAACATGGTCAGCATGACAGGATGAATCACGACAACTGAGTATGTTGGACTGACATGATCTGCAGAAGTCCGCACTTCTTCAAGCGATGCCTCGCAGCAGCTGATGCTGTGTTGCAGCGTCCAGGTCAGAGCCGAACTGAGCAAAGGCAGCGACCTGGGTAGTGCTGTAATGAACACTCTCAGGAATGACGGTAACCATGCTCAATTCCTTTTTCGTCTAGGAATTGTTTTGTCCTTGCCCCTGTCTGTTACTACTATGTGTTACCAGTTTCTTACCCGATCTTCTTGCTGCTACCCTGCCTCTCCTACCCTAAGACCCCCCAAAAACCAGGCCTCACGGTACTGCGCCAACTCCAACTTCAAGGTGCCAGCCACCTGCCAGTGGGAAGAGCACAGTGAAAATTGACGAAACCAGCTCTGTGATCATATACAGTTGGTACATGTTTGCACAAGCGTCCTAAGCATTCGACATCTCTGTTGCTTCACCAAAAGTGTCAATCCCAACACAGTGCCCAGCTTCTAACCATCTTTGGTCCAAGAAATCGCCTGCTTCATGGCCTTAATCTGGGCCGCACTGCCGACACCTTGGTCCCGACTGGCATCGGCTCTCTTGCAAGTCTTACATAGTAACAGGGCCTTCTGGTAAGGAGTTACCGGCCAATGGAACGATTGGGTTTGCATAACTTTCAACAACTGGCACAACAAAAGTGTGTGTGTGTGTGTGGGAAGTTTGTCTTGAGCAACCTTTTGGGACGTGCACCATCCAAAGGATTTGGAGCCCTCAATTGTCCTCTTTGAGACGGAGTGTTTTAGTATTTTTAAGACATGGGCGTGACAATGGTCGTAAATACATTGAGCGATATTCTACAAGGAATGAGCTTGAAGGTGAAGGAAGTACAAGACTTGTTATAAAGTAAGGTCTTCACCAGCATGTATATAGTATGAAAACCATTATTGTTTCCAAGTCACAACGGCATTCTATCTGCGTTGTTCAACACTGACGTCACGTCTCCGGCCATGAGTGCCAAGTCGCGGCTCACGGAGAGGCCGACATTCACCGCAGGGCGGATTCCCTGCCAGCTAAAGATGCTCAAGGAGCTCTTCCAGCCTTCCTTGGAAACCTAACCAAATTATACCAATTTTAGCATCCCCAACTTCCACAAGATTCTTTCAAGCTCTGCTGATCCAATTTGGAGGTGAGCTTCTACCAAAAGCCTCCTCTAACCCTTTCATTGTGAGCCATTGGGCATCTTGGCCTTATAGAAAAGCTCTGTCTCCAAGAAGATCTGCCCATCTGTGATGGAGATGACCTCATCGGCATCAAGGACCTAAAGCTGGTACTAGCCTGATCCAGGAGGATGCTCTGCTCTATCGCAACAAAGAAAAGGAGACATCTTGCAAATGCAAAGCCTCATGATGTCTGATGACGCAACTTCTTCCCTCCCAGCTAATCATGATGACAGAGCTTCTCTCATCTGGGTATCCAAACATTGGTGGGAATGTAGGCACTCACATCCCCGGCTTGTGTCTCAATCACGGGCAAAGCAGTGAGCGAGCCACCGCCGTGGGTGACCTGACAGCCGAAATACGGCTTCAATGCACAGCTCGATGTGGCAGTTCTGATGACAACGGATTTCCAAAATAGGACCATCTGCTTGAGAATACCCGCTTTCAATCCGTGTTCACTCCTTCTTCGCTCGGTGTTGAGGTCGTGTTCAGACTTGCTGTGCACCTCGTTCATCTTTGCTGCTCGCTCGAGAAGACGAGAGTGCAAATAGAAGACGTCACCTCCCAAACCCCATCGATTAGACTGCTCATCACAGGTCCAAAGAATTGACAGAATACAAAGAGTTGGTCCTCACTTGTTTGCAACAAATTGAACGTTAATAAACTAGGCAAAGGGATGCAGTTCAGGATTTCAGTATGTACAAGCAGGCTAGAAGGACTTTAGACTTAAGACTTACAACCAGCTTCATCTCTGGCTCCTTGATCTTGTGCCCACCTGGGTAGGCCTCACGTCCGGGTGGCCGCCGCAGCAGCAAGGACATTTGGCCTTGGAAGATCTTGGAAGGCATGTGGAAGACATGCTTTTGGCCTCTTTTCCAGTGCCCCAGTGCCTCTCGGGAAAGTACACTCTAACTCTAACCGTTATCCAGCTCGCTGACGCTCAAGATCGCTCAAGTGCGTAAGAAGGGAGAACCGGGGACCGCGGACCAATGGAATTCTGAGCCAGTGACGGTAAGCCACAGCCTGCTTTGACAAATCATCATAGAAAATCACCTGCGCTGTGCAGTTGAGATCTGGCTTTGCGAAACACACAGGCTTTTGCTCTTGCGTCCATGACAACACTGGGACAGGTTAGACTCTCTGCTTAAAGAGGACCTGAGGCTGTGGCTGCATGCTTGCCATTGTCTCGGAAATACTCTGCCATGGCACAGCCAGTGTAGGGTGCCAAAAACTGCAAAGGAGCTGCCTGGGCCGCAAGGCTGTCTTGGATCAGGATGAATGATGCGCATGATCATGACTCATTTGTTTGCCTCAAAATCCTCAACCGTTTTTCCACTTAGAGATCAAATGAGTGCTCCGCGATTCAAATAGTATGTTGGGATGATAGTGGCGGCATTTTTTGCAGATGGAAGGGATGAAGCGTTAGGCTCTTGATGCCAAGATGCATCTGATGCGGTTGCAGCCACGACAGTGGTGTACTTCAGACAATCCTGAACACGGCATCAACAGCCAAGATGGTGCTCAAAAGTCCAAAAGCTCTTGAACCTCTTCACAAAACACCAACCAAAAGGGGGCCCAGGGTCTTTCTCTTGAAATGATAAGGTTCCCAAAAATCTAGGATAGGGAATCAATAGTGCGAGGATGTGCGAGAGCTTCCTGCGTCCCAGCTACTGGTAGCGCTTACTTGAGCCTACCCCTACGGTTTGCTCCCTCTCTCCGCGGGCTTTCGAACATGCAAAAATACAAACCGGGAGCTGCAGGACCCAGGGCATCCTGGGAAGGATTCGACTTGGAACGCTGTCGGGGCACATTCTTTCGAAGAATCTCGAAGAGCTGAGCCACCGTGGATCGCTTCTGGCCTCAACAGATCGAGATCAATTCTGTGGTCAAACTGGTCAACTCACTGTTTCGCTGTTTCGTTTGGGCCTTTGACTTCCAACAGCCCCAAATCCAGCAATAACAGCAGTGAGGGGAGACCTTCTCCGTGAGGTTGTGCGATCTGGTAAGGTACCTGCTCGTATCTACCCAATAGCTACTCGCCCAGCCTACAGCCACGTAGATGCAGTACAAGTGGGCTGTCTTGTCTGCAGATGCGTTGATCGCCTCAGTATCACAAATCTCAATTGCCACACAGTGCTGCAAAGGAGACTACTTTTGGTATCAAAGTTTTGTGTCCTATCATGTTCTTTGATGTTCTTTGGTCTGGCAATGTCCCGCCTTCTGGTTCAGAATGGTATCAATGGCAATAGCTGTCTTTCCAGTCTGCCGATCGCCAATGATGAGCTCTCGCTGGCCACGGCCAATGGGGATCAAGCTGTCTACAGCCTTCAACCCGGTGGTCCTCGCAGCAACCAAGTTCGAAGATGTCAAACAAAAAACAAGCAAGGTCAAACCAGGTCAGATTGATCTAGTATTATGATGTATTATGCCCTCATGCTGATGCACCAATGGCATCCACAAAAGAATGGAGAGTTGAATGGGGCCTTACTTGCAATTATCTATACTTGTTCTGCTTGGTGGGCATTGACCCTTCCAGGGTGATCAGCTTGTGCGACTCAGACAAAATAAACAAATATTGTGTTTGATGAGTGGGATTGTATATCAATGTGCAGATGTGCGATGTGTAGGTATAAAGACTAGTAACAAAGTGCATCGCTACTAGCAACAAGTGCATCGCTATTAGTGTACTTAGTGACTAATCCGCCGACCCCTGCTTTGGCGAAGGCAGGGGCGGCGCCTGGGACCACCGAAGGTGTGGAACCTGAGCTTTTTGTCAAGGGCTGTGGCTGCGAAAACCTGCCACACTGGCTGTTGGAGCTGCGAGTTCTGGGTTCTGGACGCTCCAAACGCTCCAAAACCTTGCCATTGCCAGACTGTGGGCTCGGGGCTTCGGCGCGCCACATCTTTTTTTTCTAGTGGCCCGAAACTGCCCTCCAAACCCTCAAGCCCCTCAAACGCTCCGAAACCTGCCAATGGCCCACCTTGCCATTGCCAGACTGTGGGCTCGGGGCTTCGGCGCACCACATCTTTTTTTCTAGTTGCCCGAAACTGCCCTCCAAACCCCTCAAACGCTCCGAAACCTGCCAATGGCCCGAAACTGGCCTCCAAACGCTCCGAAACCTGCCACACTGGGTATTGGAGCTGCGAGCTTCTGGGTTCTGGAAGCTCCAAACGCTCCAAAACCTTGCAATTGCCAGACTCTGGGCTCTGGGCTCTGGCGCGCCAAAATCCTTTTCTCTAGTGGCCCGAAACTGCCCTCCAAATGCCTCAAACGCTTGAAGCCCTTCAAACGCTCCGAAACCCGCTCCAAACGCTCTGTTTGGAGTTCAGATGCTGGGCTGTGGCACGCCCATTCCCTTTTTCTCGTGGCCCGAAACTGCCCCTCTAGGCTACTTACTTCTTGCCTATCGTCTTCTGCGCGTTCTTCTTTTGGTCTTTCACCTTTCCAGCGCTGACGTAAAACTGGTTGCCGCACACTGTCCGGCGGTTAATTCGCCCCGCGCTGACGTTGCTTGTGACCAGTCCCCCACAGCACGGGCATGCGTACTCATGCTTTTTCCTTTTCATTAAAATAGGGGTCGGCGGCACCAGGGCGGAGCCCTTACAATCCGGCCAGGGGCCCGCTGGCCGTGTCATTGCCGTAGGCAGTCTCTCCTCTCCGAAGGAGAGAGGGGAGTCACCCCTCCGCCACCGACCCCCCAGGAATTGTGTGTTTTACAATGTTTTCTGCTTCTTCCATTTTTCCGGCTTTGTCGCTCAAAATGGGTCAACATGGCCCAACATAGGCCCAAATAATGCTGGAAATGCGTGCCGCGCCGGGGTGCTTCGTCTGCATCGTGGGCGGCTGCTGGGCTAACAACAACAACAACAACCACCACCACCACCACAACAACCACAACAACAACCACAACAACAACCACAACAACAACAACAACAACGACAAGAACACTACCACGACTGCAACAAGCCCTTTGCTTGGGCCCCTGGCCGGCTGTCGGGCGTAAGCCCTTAAATCCGGGCGCCGGCCACGCGCACGTTCCCTTGCCGGAGGCCTTCGGTTGGTAACCGAAGGTTATATACGCTCGCCGCCCCTGCCGCCGACCCTTTTGTTGAGCCGCGTGTATACCTCAGGTCGAATCCGGTCGACAGATTTATATGTATCTTGCGCAGGGTGTTCAAAAAATGTTCAAGACATCGTTTTTTACATGTTTCGTGGCCTTCAGCGGACACGAAACAGGGCGCCGGTGGTGTCGGTTATGCGTTCCGCCTAAACAGGCTTAATCGACATTTCGTGGGCGTTGGGCACATAAGTTGCCTAACATATCCCCAACATAGGCCCAAGATAGCCAACATATGCCCAACATAGCCTCCAAGATGGCTCAACATAGGGCCAACATAGGCCAACATGGGGCCAACATACGCCAACATAGGCCCAACATAGGCCCAACCTAGGCCAACATCGGCCAACATAGGCCTAACATAGGCCGACCTAGGCCCAACATAGGCTCAACTTGGGCCCAAGATGTGCCCAACATAAACCACATGGGCTCAACTTGGCCCAACCTAGGGCCAAGATGCGCGCCAGATAGCTTAACTTTGCTCAATATAGGCCCCACCAAATCTCAGAGAAAGAGAGAGAGAAAGAGAGAGAGAGACAGGACCCAGCCCTGCACATACCCAAACCCAAATAGGCCGGCGCCCGGCTGTCAGGCGTAAGCCTCATAAATCCGGGCGCCCGGCCACGAAGCCCGTGCCCTGCCCGGAGGGCCTTCGGTTGGTAACCGACGGTTATAGACGCTCGCCCCCCCTGCCGCCGACCCTCGGGACCAAAACGGGCGGACCCCCTTGGTCACGTCCGGTTCACTGATATCAACGTAATTTACAGTGTTTCGTGTGTGTGTGAGGTATAAAAAACACTGTGTTTTACAGGGTTTTGGCCCCCTCGGCGGCCGAGAATTTCATCTTGGCGAGGTTTACAAACGTCGTTTTTTCAGGGTTTTGCTTTGCGGGAAGGGAAAAATCGTAAAACGTTGTATCGGAAGATTTTTTCAACATAAATTGCCCAACATATCCCCAACATAGGCCCAAGATAGCCAACATATCCCCAACATATCCCCAACATATGCCCAACATAGCCTCCAAGATGGGTCAACATAGAGCCAACATGGGCCAACATGGGGCCAACATACGCCAACATAGGCCCAACATAGGCCCAACCTAGGCCAATATAGGCCAACATAGGCCTAACATAGGCCAACATAGGCCCAACATAGGCTCAACTTAGGCCCAAGATGTGCCCAACATACACCACATGGGCCTCACTTGGCCCAACCTAGGGCCAAGATGCGCACCACGTGTCCTTGCCGGAGGCCTTCGGTTGGTAACCGAAGGTTATATACGCTCGCCGCCCCTGCCGCCGACCCTTTTGGTTGACCTGGGGGTCGACCCCCCTCGAATCCGGTCGACAGATTTATCAGGTTTTTTGCGCAGGATGTGCAAAAACATCATTTTTTACAGCGTTTCGTGGCCTTCGGCGGCCACGACTTTCGCCTAACAGGGCGCCGGCGGCGTCGGTTATGCGCGCCGCGCGGACAAGCTTAATCGACATTTCGTGGGCGTTGGGCGCATAAGTTGCCTAACATATCCCCAACATAGGCCCAAGAGAGCCAACATATGCCCAACATAGCCTTCAAGATGGCTCAACATAGGGCCAACATAGGCCAACATGGGGCCAACAACATAGGCCCAACCCAGGCCAACATAGGCCAACATAGGCCTAACATAGGCCGACCTAGGCCCAACATAGGCTCAACTTGGGCCCAAGATGTGCCCAACATAGACCACATGGGCTCAACTTGGCCCAACCTAGGGCCAAGATGCGCACCAGATAGCTTAACTAACTTTGCTCAATATAGGCCCCACCAAGTCTCAAAGAGAGAGAGAGAGAGAGAGGACCCAGCCCTGCACATACCCAAACCCAAATAGGCCGGCGCCTGGCTGTCAGGCGTAAGCTCATAAATCCGGGCGCCGGCCAGGAAGCCCGTGGCATGCCCGGAGGGCCTTCGGTGGTAACCGAAGGTTATAGAGGCTCGCGCCCCCTGCCGCCGACCCTCGCCACGAAAAACGGGCGGACCCCCTGGTCACTTCCGGCTCACTGACGCCCCTGTAATTTACAGTGTATCGTGTGTGTGTGTGTGAGGTAAAAAAACACTGTGCTTTACAGGGTTTTGGGCCCCTCGGCGGCCGAGAATTTCATCTTGGCGATGTTAAAAAACGTAGGCTTTTTCAGGGTCTTTGCTTTGCGGGAGGGAAAAATCGTAAAAAGTTGTCTTGGAATATTTTTTCAACATAAATTGCCTAACATATCCCCAACATAGGCCGAAGATGGCCGACATATCCCAACATATGCCCAACATAGCCTCCAAGATGGCTCAACATAGGGCCAACATAAGCCAACACGGGGCCAACCTGGGGCCAACATACGCCAACATAGGCCCAGCGTAGGCCCAACCTAGGCCAACTAGGCGCCCAAGATGTGCCCAACATAGACCACATGGGCCCAACTTGGCCCGACCTAGGGCCAAGATGCGCGCCAGATAGCTTAACTTTGCTCAATATACGCCCCACCAAGGCCAACATAGGCGTGACATACGCCCCACAGACCCAAGTGGGCCGGCGCCCGGCTGTTAGGCGTAAGCCTTTAAATTTGCTACTAGTAGCAAGAATCTAGCTATCTTGCGACTCACTCTCCCTCTCTGTTGGCCGGACACCCAGTCATGGGCTCGTGCACGCTCTGTCGCGGAATGATGCCTGGAGCCTGTCAAACATCAGAAGCGAAGCAGTGGGCAGTATACTCACACATGCGCTGTTCGGAAAGGATAAGGCGAGCTTATAAATTCCTATTCAATCGAATATTGAGTCACTCAAGATACACATGACGGCAACGAACTTTCATCAACCATTCTCATCCATTATCACTGTTGGCCCTCTTATGCCCTCATCTTGGTTCAGATCATGCATGAAATGGTTCTGCATCATCCTAACACCAACCCAAATCCAACAGGTAGAGGACGCTACTAGGGGCGCCTGGCCGTACTAGGAGCCAGGACACTAGGAACAAACCAAATCCAACATCGCTGTCCACCTTCAGCTCCACACGGCGTCGCTCTTTGGTGTTGATCGGCCCAGCACCGTCGATCGGGGTACCCAAGGCGTCCACCACTCGGCCCAGCCTCAGCTTCGTACGGCAGATGGCAGACCTACGAAGCCATCTTTTGGGCGATGCACTTGTTCCTAGTAGCTTATTGTTTCTGATAGCTTCTTGTTACTAGTAGTAAGGCACTTGTTACTAAAAGCGAGGCACTTGTTACTAGTAGCTTATTGAGTAGAGACTTTGTTATCATGATGGGATCATATGTGGATGTACTGATGTCTCAAAAGAAGGTGTTAAGGCATGACGGGAAGCCAATCTCCTGTTCATGGAACACCTTCTGCAGATCATCCGCAAACAACGAACGAGACAAACAAAAGGGGGCTCGCTGAGGCTGGAACAATTCCTCACCGATGGGCACGTCGACAATCGTTCCGGTGCATTTCACACTGTCACCTGAAAAATTAATGTCATAGTTGTCATCAAATCATCACCTGATCTTCGAGTCATCAAATCATTTTGGGCTCCGGCCTTCCACGATGGCTCGGTCATCTCCGAAGACCACCACACCGACGTTGTCAGTCTCCTCAGACTTTTGACATCTACGTCCAGCATGGCTCCAGACCGCCTTCAACATACTTGCATCGCTGCTGGTAACAAGGGCATTACTTCTAGTGGCAAGAAGCTACTAGTAGCAAGGTGCCTTACTACTAGTATACTTGGGTCGACGTCTGATTCGGTAACCAAACGGTCTGATTCGGTAACTATGATTCGGTAACCAAAAGCGCTGATTCGGTAACCAAAACGTCTGATTCGGTAACCAAAACGTCTGATTTGGCAACCAAAACCACTGATTCGGTAACCAAAACCCGCTGATTCGGTAACCAAAACTGCTGATTCGGTAACCAAAACCGCTGATTCGGTAACTAAAGCCGCTGATTCGGTAACCAAAACCAGGAAACCAAAACCAAAAACATTTCCAAAAAAGGAAACCGATGACCCGGGTAGTAGTAGTAGTAGTAGTAGTAGTAGTAGTAGTGGTAGTGGTAGTGGTAGTGGTAGTGGTAGTGGTAGTGGTAGTGGTGGTAGTAGTGGTAGTAGTAGTAGTAGTAGGTGGTGGTAGTGCCACCGATGCAAAATCTCTCCGCGAAGCAACAGGAGAAACGG